AATATTGGGTTATTGAATTTGATGCTTTCTGATTCTTCCTTATACATTTTTCTAATTTTTAGCCAGTACCAAATCTCTGTCATGATTACAGCTTTATAATGTAATTTGAGATCTGGAAGTGCCATTCCCTTTTCATTCCAACTTTTTTCTATTATTTCCCTTGAGATTCCAGATCTTTTGTTCCTAGAAATGAATTTTGTTATTATCTTGTCTAACTCTACAAAACACCCCTTTGATGGTTTGATTGGTATAGCACTGTAAATGTGAAAATTATTTTAGGAAGTAGTAATTTTTATTATATTAGCATTGTTAAACTATGAGCAATGAATAACTTCTAATTATTTAAGAAAATTTGTTAAAGAGAATGCACAGGTACATTAGCAGACATTTTGGATAGACAGAATCTAGAGACATTGTGGCACAGTGGATAGAGAAGATTGCTGGGTTTGGAATCAAAAAGACTTGAATTTGAATCTTGCCTCAAATACTTATTAGCTATGTGATTTTTCAGCAAGTCACTTAATAGCTCCAAGCCTTGGCTTCTTCATCTGTAAATGGGGGGCAATAATACCTATAGCATTTGTCTCAGGAACTAGCTACTTTACTTGAAGCTTGGGCCATTGTACAAGTTATGTTTATGATTAAAGAGTTTGCTCAGTAATTTGGTTCCATTGATAACCCCAGTGACATCCTGCAGTAAAAACTGTGGGGTTCTTGACTTATACTCCAAGTCTCTTGTGATGATATCTGTGTAGCATTCTAAAGCATTTTAGAGTTGAAAGGAAGCTCAGAGATCATCTTCATCTAAACTCCCATCTTTCTTCTTCTGAAATCCCTGTTAGGATCTCCTCTACAGTATCCTTAACAAATGAACCCTTCCATTAACAGCAAACCAATAAATTTATTAAGTGCCTACTATGTGCTTTTGTTGTTGTTGTTCAGTGGTTTCAATCATGTCTAACTCTTTATGACCCCATTCGGGCTTTTCTTGGCAGAGATACTGGAGTGGTTTGCCATTTCCTTCTTCAGTTGATTTTTACAAATGAAGAAACTGAGGCAAACAGTGATTTGCCCAGAGTCACACAGCTAGTGCCTGAGGCCAGATTTGAACTCAGAAGATGAGTCTTTCTGACTCCAGGCCCAGCACTCTATCCATTGTGCCAATATGATAAGCACTGTGCTAATCACTGAGTATACAAAGAAACACAAAAGAAAGTCCCTGTCTTCTAGGAGATCGCGGTCTAGTGGGAGAAGGCAACACATAAAAAGAAGCTGAAAAATTGAGGCGGGGGAAGGAGGGGCACCTGGTGCTGTGACATGATGAGGTCTAGAGGAGTGCATCACGTCAAAGCGGGGGGGGGGGGTGGGGGTGGGGTGGGTGAGGGAATAAAGAGATGGATGCCCCAAGGGCCCTCCTTAAGTGGAGGGTCTGAGAGGACTTGTTTAGTGTTCTGCCCTTCAGCCTCTATGATGGAGGGGAGGGGCAGGGAGTATAGAGTTTTAGGGCTAATGTGGTTTACAGGATCATAAGATTCTGATGAAATCCAGGAGTGCAGCCAAGTGGGAAATGAAGAGGAACTTAACTGGCAATACTTTGCCTTTTGAGTCAGTCCATTCCACAACTGGATAGCTCTAATAGGTAGAAAGTCCTTTCTTATATTCATCCTTTAAAGTTCTGTTATCTGGAACCCCACAGAATATGTTGAATCCATTCTCCTCGTGAGTGCTCTTTATGTATTTGAATAGAGTTATTATTTCTGCCCGAAGTTATAAATTTCCAGTTTCTTATACCATGTGACTTTACCAGCTGTGAGAGATCTGGCCCTAGGGCTTAGGTTTTGAATGATGTCCGATCCCTTGGGTCACCAGCTCCTTTCTTTCTTTCTTTTTTTCCTTCCCTAGCTCATTTTATTTTTTTTAATTTTTATTAATTTATTTTGATTTATTAACAATCACTTCTATATGCTTTTGAATTTAAAATTTTTCTCCACCTCCCTCCCCAATATGGCAAACAATCTGATATAGGCTGTACATATACATTCCTATTAAACATGTTTTCACATTAGTGATGTTGTAAGAATGAATTAGAACCAATAGGAGGAACCACCAGAAAGAGGAAACAAAACTCAATAGAAGAAAAAAAATAGCAAATAGTATGCTTCACTTAGCATTCAAATTCCATAGTTTTCTTTGGATGTGGATAGCATTTTCCATCATGAGGCCTTTGGAGATGTCTTAGATCCTTGTATTGCTGAGAAGGGTTCAGTTTATCAATATTAGTCATCACACAATGTGGCTGTTATTGTGTACAATGTTCTCTTAGTTCTGCTCGCTTCACTCAGCATCAGTCCATACAAGTCTTTCCAGGTTTTTCTGAAGTCAGCCTGTTCATCATTTCTTATAGCACAATAGTATTGCATTACATTCATATATCACAACTTGCTCAGCCATTCCCCAATTGATGGGCATCCTCTCAATTTCCAATTCTTTGCCACCACAAAAAGAGCTGCTATGAATATTTTTGTACATGTGGGTCCTTTTCCCATCTGTATGATCTCTGTGGGTTATAGCCCTAGAAGTGCTATTGCTGGGTCAGCTCCTTTCTTGAATGGCTTTCAGGAGACCTAACCCTTGGCCCAAGAGCCTTCTCTTCTAATTTGACTAGGTTTTTTTTTAAATGATTTTCTAAAGCTTGATTTATCAAAGTTTGAATCAAAATTTGGGTCTTCAGCTTCTTGGTCCTTGGACCTACTTCACTCTCTGGGTTCAGAAATATCTGCCTCACACAAATCTCTTCAGTTGTGGCCACCATGGCTGGGTGCCTGAATCTAGTAGCCACCATAGCTGAGTGCCTGAATCTTGCCTAGGGTCACAAGGCTAGTAAATGTCTGAGGTCACATTTGAACTCAGGTCTTCCTGACTATCCATTTTGCTACCTAGCTGCCTGCAATAGGCTTAGGGAACAGCTTAAATAGTTCTGGACTTGGATTTGGAGTCAGGAAGTCCCAGATTTAAATCCTGGATCTACCACTTGCTTTGTTTGACCTCTCTAAAACTCAATTCCCACATCTGTAAAATGAGGATAATACCTATAGGATCAAATGAGAGAAAAAGCATTTTTCAAACTTTAAATTGATATATAAATGTAAGCAACTATTACTAAGGTAATTAGAGGTGTGTTTGAAAGAAAACTAGTTCCAGATTAAGTAGTATCTTAGTTTGTCAATTTAATCTTTAATTGAACAGTCCTCCAGACTTAGCTTGTGTCTTGAATCCTCCTGGAATCTGCATATGAAGTTCCATTTTCACTAAAACCCCCAAATAAGGATGGCCATTCATATCTCTCATGGATATTGTAGACTCCAGCTTATTTGTCAGCTTAAAGTCCAGATTTTCCTCTTAGTCAATCAGGAGACTATTCACTGGTAGTAGGCTTTGGGTGATTCACTTATATCCCTATGAAATTCCTTATCAATTGTGATTAAATAAGCTAAGGCACTGAATGTCCATATGGGGAATATCCACATTGGGGAATAGATTTTTTAAAAAAAAGTCATACACCATCATGACTATGTTCAATGTGCAGAAAACAGAATAATTCAACTAGAATCTAAAGTCACTCCCTCAAAATAAAAAAAAAACAATTTACAACAATCCTTTTCATTACTCAATCCTGATTGCTCTTACTATAATCTCTAGTGTGCCATTGTGCCTCTTAAAATGTGGCACCTCAAAGTGGACTCGGTATTCCAGATGTGATTTGGCTAAGACAGAGAAAGATGAGGCTATCACTTCTCTTTTTGGACCCTATATTTTTAATCCCCCATAGACACCTACCAGTTTATTTCTTTCTAAGTGCATTCTCATGGAGTAATAAAATGTGCCAGCACACGCTCCTTTAAATAAATGATTATATTTAAATTCATGATCTGCACCTTCCCATCTCTGTGATCTCTTTAGATATTTTGTTCTCATCCAGAGTATCTTTTACTACCCTTCTCCAACTCATTAAATGGGTTTTTTCTCTTTTTTAATTGAGGAAAAAAAGCAGTGAAAAAAGTCGGTGATGTTTTCACAGACGTGAGAAATGTTCAAGATCCGTGCCCCCTCCCTTCTTGCCTCGCTTTCTTTCTCCCTCTTCTTTCTCTCCCACTTCTTCCTCGAAGTTAATCACCAGCTGTATTATTTAACAGGTCTAGATGAGCAGAGGGCCTCGGCGCTGCGGGGATTCTGGTCCCTTCGTTATCACTTGAGAACAGGGGAGAGAATCCGGTTGCTTCCGATCTCAGTGTGCCTTGCCTGACCCCTGCAGCCAAGGAGTGGGGGGAATGCTGGGTTTTTTTTTCTTATGTAATAGGCTCTCTGCAATTTTCATTCAGATCTGGTTGGCTGCAAGCTGGCAGGCAGCCGGAGCTACGCCTCCAACTCAGATGAGCTCATCCATCCCCAGCTCCCAGTCTATTTATTTATTTATTTTAGGAAATGGGAAGTTGAGGGGGGGGGTTGGAGATACAGCGGGGAAGGGAGGCTTGGAGGGGGAGGAAAACTACTACAGCCAAAATCCTTGCTGCTTCAACGTTAAAAAACAGGCGGCCACCCCCTACACCCCACCCCCACCTTAACATTTTTTCTTACAGAATGCAGAGACCCTTCCTGTCCTCCCCGCCTTCTCCTTTCTTCTTTCCCTCCTCTTTCCACATTCCTTCTATCCTTTTTTTAATTCCCTTTGAAGAAAATAGAGGGGGCGGTGGGGGTTGGGGGGAGGAGGGAGCGGGAACAGGAAGAAATTTACCGCAATGGGTTTCACAGTTGATTCTCCTCTCGTTCAGATTTTAATTGCCAGTGGGTGTCACTGGTTAGGAATCGGCCAACGAGGGAACTCCCCCTCCCCCATCTCCCTCTCCAATTAGCAGAGGCATTCACTATCAGGCTCACTTAGTCCTGTGCCTCTGCCAGCCCTCGCCAGATGCATCAGTCTAGAACCGGCTGCAAGTAATGCTTTGGCTACGGCGCGGAGGGAAACTGTTTCATTCGGGATGATCTGATTCAGAAATAGAGCTGCCCCTACTTCTTTCCCCTGTCCTGCCTTGCTCTGCCCTACAAGGCAAGACAAGGCAAGGCAAGGCAACTCAGCCTTTACATCTCTTTCTCCTCCCAGTTCTTAAGCAGCTGAAGACAGGTGAAATCAAAGGAGCAGGAGTCCCGCTCAGAGCCTCGGACCTCAGGTCACGGCTTCTGGAAGTCAGTCCTTTCAGCACCTTGGAGAACTCCTGCATGTGGGGGCTCTAGATGGCGCCTTAGCCCAGACACTGCCGGTGGGAGATACCAGTGAACGCGACTCCCTCTCTACAGCTTGCCCAGAGGAGGGACCCACCCGATTCCAGCCTTATAGGGTCGAGCAAATGGAATTGAAGCACTTTGGAGAGATTTCCCATTCAACCTGGACCGAAGCTGCGGCTTCAGACCCTGAGCAGTCTCCCTAGCTCCTAAAAGTGAGGCATGGAGGACGACGAAGAGAGAGACATAGACACGTGTATTTTCTTTTTTCCGTCGGTCCAGGGTGACCTTTCTCAATAGGAGCAGATCAGCTTCAATCCCTAGGACAGTTTCCTAGTGTACAGCTCTATGAAACCTGGGGAGAGGCGGCAATCGACAAACTCTACCCTCATGGCCCTGGGTGAAATTATTCATCCTGAAATGCGCATTGCTTATTTGTTTAAGTTTATTCGAATGCATGTTTCTGGCTTGTTAAGGGGAAAAGGCAATTGCCTCGAAATCAGAAATGATAGAAAATTTTTAGGTACCTATGAATAACGGCCGCCTGCCTGCAGCAAGCTGAGACTTGGAACCGATCTGAGGACTCTCAACTCTTGTCAGGGGAACTGGCCGCTGAGCGTAGAGCCCTTTAAACTGCTCGGGATTTTCATGCATCATTTTAAATGTGTACTTTGCCTAGAGTCTACTCCATTTTCCTCCTATTACCATTCTTGATAGAACCTTCTTTCCTCTCCTCTCTCTCGCCTCCACCTCCCCCATCTTTCTCCTGGGTTCTGTGGACATACGTAGCAAGACAGAGCTGGGTTTGGAGCTCACTACAATTGCCTTGACTTTTGATTTTTTTACTTCTTCCTGGATTACAAGATCGGATGGTGCACCATTAAGTCCAGAAACCCCGATGAACCTCAGTGTTAGGAAGAACCCTGGTGTGAGTGTGTGTTTGTACTGTTGTGTGTGTGGGGGTGCAAGAAAAAAACAACTTTGGATCCCCAAAGCCCCCCTTTCCTTCTCGTGCAAGTTTCTTTGGAAGTCGTACAATGAGGAATTCTTTTGCATATAGCTGAGGGCAAAGCCCAAACAGTACCTGGGGGAGGGGGGCAGCGCTGCAACGGGAAGGGGAAATAATATTTGTCCCCAGTATTCTCTGCAATCAACGATGGCAAATGAACCGGTGATTTTGAATGTCTATGATATGGTGAGTATGAAACGGTAGGAGGTTGGGTGCAATGACAACATATATGCCCCTTGTGATTGGACACAGCCGGGCTAATAAGAGGAGCCCAGCGCAGAGTCCTGGAGAGACCGGCTGTCTGTTCCGACTGACAGACACATAGACAGATTGACACAGAGCTCCTGCTGCTCCCATCGCATCTCCCAGGAATGGAAGGTAAAGCGCTCTGGTTTGACTAGTTGGTGCGCTCTTGGGGAGGGGGAAGATATGATTGCCTTCCTTTGCAGGCAGCTCAGGTTTCCAGGAGATGCAGGCACTTTTGCTTTCTGGAGCAGAGCTGGTTTGCCCTTGAATTTCAAGCCTGGTAGAGCCCAGGAGACATGGAGAACTCAAGTTCTTGTAAGGAAGAGCAATTATTGAGGAATCTTAAAAGGAGAGTTCCAGTGTGGGGTGGACTTTGGCTTTGGATTGTAGAATCAAGATCTTGAGAGTATTCAGTTAATAGTGGCTGTGATATATCATAAGTTCTGCATCCAAATGCAAAATTCTGCAAAATTCACAGAGAAATTTTTTCCAGTCTCCCCCCTAATCTCCAACAATGCATCCATTCCTGATCCATTTTCTTCTGACATTCAGTTATACTCATTTAAAGGGCTGAGGACACTTTGCACTTTTGCTTCAACACCTTTTCCATTGCACATGTGATCCCTTAAACAAACCCACGCACAGTAGATTAAGTGTAAGAGGAAGTATAGTTCTGAACCAGAAAGGGCAGCTTTGGGACCAATTATTAGCCCTTTGCTCTCTTATACTCTGCATAGAGAGCTTCCATTATTCATCCTGCCACCCAAGTTAGGTAGAGGTAAAGGGATCCATGAATCCTGTAGCCTTAGCTTTTTTTCAAGACATCTTTAGGAAATCCACAAGGGACACACATTTTAAGATGATCTTACATTGGGGAAAATATAATGCTAATAGACAAAGGTAGTGCAGTAATACCAAACTCATGCTGCCATGGAGGTAAAATTGGATAAAGATGCCAGTCAAAAAACAGAATTGCCTCGGGAACATATGGAAATCACACACAGAATAAATGGTAGGTGTGTTATATTGAATATAAACATATATACAATATAAGGCTTATGTTTTGACATCTACCCACAGCATGGAACCCTTTCGTTTCTCCGTATGAGTGATATTTTTTTTGGGGGGAGAGGAAAACTGGGAGTTTATCTTAAAATAGTGGATGTGGAAAAAACTGCCACAGTGATGGGAGCTCTAACACCTACTCCTGCTTTGAAAATTACTTTTAAAATTCACCTTGCCTGTAAATGGTTTCAAATAATTGTCATCAGATAAAATCTTTTTTCCTTTTTTTCACTATTTGATCAGACTCATGTGCATTTCTGGTATAAACAGGTTTAAGTTCCTATATACAATGGATTATAGGGCCAGAGTCAACATTAGCTTTCTTTTCTTTCCCCTAAAGCCCCTTTTTTAGTGAGATAGTCAAGTCAGTCGCGGAGTTCTCAGCCTTACCCCTTTTCTTTGACTTGAGTGAGCTAGATCTGTTGCTTAAGACCGGGTTTTTCCACTTGTTCAACAAGGAAAACAATGTTTACCATTGGATGATTTGGGTAAGCTGTTGTTCTTGGACAAATGGAACCTTTTTCATGTTGCCAAGAGGGTGGAGTCTATCTTGGAGGTACTGAACTGAAAATCTAGATTGTTGTGTTCATCTACACAGAGAAAAACATAGAAATGTGGATTCAGAGCTAGAAGGTACTATCTAATAAGATCCTTTCATTTGACTGAGTTTGTGAGACTATGTGTTTCTGACATTCTACAGAATCTCAGAATTGAAGAGGATCTCAGAGGTAATTGAGTTCAATCCATACCTGAACAGGATCCCTAACAAGTTAAAAATTCCTGAAAAGATTAGGGCACTATCTTCCTAGCAACATGTTCTACTTTGGGATAAACCTATTGTAAGAAAGATGTTCCTTACATCAAGCCTACATCTACCTTTGTGGTTTCAACCTGTTGCTCCTTGTTCTGACCTCTGGGATCAAGATAGCTCTTTAAATAGTCAATAAACATTTATTAAGCACTCACTGTTTGCCTGGCACTGTACTAAGTGCTGGAGATACAAAAAAGGGCAAAAGACAGTCCTTGCCCTCAAAGAGCTCACAGTCTAGTGGGGGAGACAACAAGCAAACAAATACAGTACGTACAAACAAGCTAGATACAGGATAAATAAAAAAAAATAATTAGAAGAGAGAAGGCACTAGAATTAAGAGGCATTGGAAAAAGGCTTTCCATGGAAGGCAGTATTTCAGTTTGGACTTGAAGGAAACCACAGAAGACAGTAGGAGGAGATAAGGAAGGAGAGCTTTCCAGGCATGGGGACAGGCAGTGAAAATGCCAGGAGGAGAGAAATGGAGTGTCTTATTTATGAAACAGCAAGGAAGCCAGTGTTACTGGATTGAAGAGTATGTGATGTGGAGTAAGGTATAAGAAGATGGAAAGGTAGGAGGGAGCTAGGTTATGAAGGGCTTTGAATTCCAAAGAGAGGATTTTGTGTATGATTCTGGAGGCAATAAGGAGCCACTGGGATTTATTGAGTAGAGGGGTCACATTGTTTGCTCTGTGCTTCAGGAAGATCACTTTGGTAGCTGAGCGGGGGATGAATTGGAGTGGGAAGAGACTAGGAGGCAAGAAGAACCACTAGCAGGCTATTGCAATAGTCCAGGCGTGATGTGATGAGGGCCTGAACCAGAGTGGTGGCAGTGTTAGAGGAGAGATAGTTGAGGACAGCTATCACAGAGGCAGCATGGTCCAATGGAGAGGGCACTAGATTTGGAATAGGAGGACCTGGTTATATCATTTACTTAACTGCTTGACTTTGGCCAAATGACTTAATCTCTCTAGCTCTGAGTTTCCATATTAGTGGAAAGTAAGAGTGTTGACTAGATGCCCTCCGAGGTTCCTTTCAGCTCTTGCTCTATGATCATAATCTGTGATTCTCCAGGCTAAGCTTCTGAAATTCCTTTAACTAGTTCTCATGTGATATGGCCTCCTTTCCCCTCAACATTGTGATCTCCAACTTCTGGATGCTCACTAATGAACATTTCTCCTAAAACATGACACCCAGAGCATGACACAGTCAGTGCAGGGTAGAATATAGTGGGTATTTTTCTTATTTTGAACATACCCCTCTAAATGCAGCCTAGGATTCAATTACCTTTTTTTCTTTAAACCATTTCCATATATCACTGTTGAAATTGAGCTTGAAGTCCTTTAAAATCCCCCCAGACTTTTTTTAAAAACATAAACTGTTGTTATGATGCTTCCCTATCTTGCTTTTGTCCAGCTGATTTTTCAAAAAAAAAAAACAACCAAAGAACAAAAAACCAAAAACCTCTGTACTTACCACTGTTATCTTACTAGATTCAGTGCATAGTTTTCACCTCTCAATTATATTTTTGGATCCTGAGTGTCATCCATTATGGTAGTTATGTCTTCGATTTTGTGCCAGCAGTTTTATAAGCATGCCATCTCCTATTGATATAAATGTTAAAGAATACAAGGCAAAGGGCAGATCTCTGGGGCACTCCACTTTAAGTTGATAAGAATCCATTAATTACTACTTTTTGGGTCTAGTCTAGACAAACTAACCACACCTCATTTAATCCATAATGCTCCATCTTGTCCATAAGAATAGCCTGAGAGACTTTGTCACATACTTTTCTGAAATTTAGGTAAACTCTTGTCTACAGTTGTCTCCTGATCTGCCAGTCTAGTTATTGTCAAAAAAAAAAAAAGAGCCCTTCACATTTTCTTGCTTTTCCAGTCTTCTTACACTTTCCTCTCCTCCACATACTCTATGATCCAGCAACACTGACCTGACTGTTCATTGATACACTGCCCCATATACTGATACTATGCCTTTTTACTGGCTGTTCTGCATACCTGGAATGAATGCTCTCCTCTCCACAACTCCACCTTTCTTTAAGATAGTTAATATCCTGTTTCTGGTCAACCCTGCTGCCAGTGTTTATTAAGGCACCTTCTAAGTACTCTATACACACATATCTTATATGTATATAATTGTTTGTATGTTATCTCCTCCATTAGGTTATGGCTCCTTAAGGGTACGGATTTTTCTTCCCTTCCTTCCTTCCTTCCTTCCTTCCTTCCTTCCTTCCTTCCTTCCTTTCTTTCTTTCTCTTTCTTTCTTTCTTTCTTTCTTTCTTTCTTTCTTTCTTTCTTTCTTTCTTTCTTTCTTCTTTCTTCTTTCTCTCTTTCTTTCTTTCTCTCTTTCTTTCCTTAATTCTTAATAGAGGATTATTGACTGACTGAAGACATATTGGTTCTTAGGGATACCTTGGTTCAAAATGTTCATAAAGCATTTTTTAGGTAATGTGTTCTATAACATTATTATTATTATTAGTCAGGAATTGACGTCAGGTTCACCTACTTATAACTGAGAGACCATATCCCCTTTCATACTTTGAAAACTTGGACAACCTTTTCCCATTTCCAATTTTGAAAGCCCTTTCCTGTTCTCCATGATTTTTTAAAGATCACCAAGAGAGGCTTGACAATCACATCTGCTAGTTTTTTTATGAGTATTTGGAGGGGTTTGGGGGAGAGCTCAAGCAAGTCACTGCTTTCACTCTGCCGTCTTGGCTCTGCCCCCCTCATCTGCTAGTTTTTAAAAAGATTTTGAAATAGAGTTCATCTAGGCCTGGTGGCTTGAACTTACTGATGGCAGCTAGATGCTCTTTTACTATCTCTTTGTTTCTGTTTTTAGTTTTTATTTTTTTCTGACTGCATCTAGGTGATCTCTTTTGGGGATCTTATTAGCTCCATGGATTTAATTATCATCTCTCTATATTTTATTGCCAAATCTACATATCCAGCCCTCAGCTCCCTACTGAACTCTAATCTCAAATCTCCAGCTGCTTAATGGACATCACTACATGGACATCCCAGTGCCATCTCAAACTCAACCTCTTTAA